ATAACAAACTGACAATAACGTTTCACTACCCAAGAAAGTATTTAAACACTAAAGGGAGATGTATCGAAACGATTAGTTAAACAGGACAGGTAATATGGTTTCATCATCTGGATAGAAACTAATCACGTGCTTCCAAGGAATGAAATTTCTTTAAAGCACCAACAGTTCAAACAACTCGATAATAATATAAAATCCACACATATACCGATAAGAAAAGGTTAATCGGAAATCACGCATTGATTTCAAGATGCGTCTTCGAAGGAAGAAACACGTCAAACGAAACGTTCGTGAATTCTTGTGCAACTGCTCGTAAAACGAGCGGTAATAATGTCGAGTGAAAGAAAATCACGTACACTCGTGATAAACGGCAGGACAAACGGATGAAATTTCGTCTGCTAGCGGGAATCGTGTCTTCTGCTAGTTTCTCTCTGGTTAAACTCGCGGCTCCCATGATCCCGCGGTACATAGAGATTCGCGCAATTCGCGCGTTACATAACACCGAGGGCCCGGCTTTTGGCCGAGGCGGCATCGTTAAAGCACACATTAAAACGAACAGACACACGGTAACCTGATCGAATCATTACATAACATTATTAGCGGCGGCGTTCAACCACGAGAAACAGGAAAATTGATGGGCGCCTATTATAATATCACCGTGTACTAACCAGTACTGGTACCGTCCTCGTTGCCATTCATCAGAGGGATTTTCATACTCCCATTTTCCGTGGAGGCCTCGATTTGTGCGCCCAATGTCATCTTTCTCTGACAATCCCTTTCGAGGTTTCACACTACTGTTCGTGCCGGCACGTCCTTATTGTTCACAGTAACACGCACGCACACCTCTTTCAAGTTATATCTCGAAACTCCGAGCCGCTTTTCTTTACCGCACGTGCGTTTCGAACGAAGTACAAAGTCTAATGTGTCCGATTGGTCTTCTCGTCTAGCGGCTTATCGAATAAACCTGTCTGATTGGAGATTCTGATCACGTGATCCACCCCTCGTTGCTCTCAGAACGCTTACTATTTGCCGTTGCCGATGTATCAAACGGTACGGTTCCTTTTGAAGTTGGACGTTATTTGAACGTTCTTTGATTGGTAGCAATTGTCGAAGATGGAGACACTCTTGGAACGTAACAAAACGGAATTAAAATTACTAGATGACGGATTTCTAACCTTACGTGCTACTCATTTCAATAAGTAACCGTTCGTACTTTATTTTAATAAAATATTGCAAACCAATAAAGACATATTTCCTGCGAAACGAAAGTAAATTGAAGGAATTAAAAAAACGTTGACATTTTATCAGACGAAACATCGTCAAGCTTTGCAAAAGTAAGGTTAAGCGTCTGAAAGAATGTCGGCAGAAGAACAGTCAGATTTGCGTCTAGGACCTGATCCTAATGTCAGTTATCCGATTCAAGTACAATACTGCGGAAACTGTTCTCTTCCTATTGAGGTAAGAAGGTCCCGAATAATGGGCACCTGACGTTTATACTGAATGACAAATTGTTGACAGTCGGAATTTTTGAAAATTTGATTTCCATTTGTATCACAGTACTGTGAATATTATCCAGAGTATGAAAAATGTAAGCAGTGGCTAGAAAGAAATTTACCAACAGAATTCGAGAAAGTGAAATTAGGTAATTATGCTATTTATGCATAGAATCATGCTATTATTAAATTGTAATATAATTATTTTATTTCAATCTGAATTACATATGAGTAGTAGAAGATAATACTACAGAAGCAGGTGGAGGTGAAGATGAAAAGAAACGACAAAAACGTGGTGGTAAAGGTATGCTTAAGACAAAGAAAAAAGAAGATGTTCCAAAATTAGTAACTGTATCTAGAGCACCCAGAGGAAAAAAGAAATCTGTTACAGTTGTAACTGGTCTCAGCACTTTTGGTAATATACAGTCTTTATATAGATTCAATTTTTTTTAAAGGAATGATTGCTTAATTATTATATTCTTAACTTATTCTTAATTTACAGACATAGATTTAAAAGTAGCTGCAAAATTTTTTGGTAGTAAATTTGCATGTGGATCTAGTGTAACAGGAGATGATGAAATAGTCATTCAAGGAGATGTAAAAGATGATCTATTTGATGTGATTCCAGAAAAATGGCCACAGGTAAACACAATGACTATTGTTTTGAATGATAATGAAAAGTATATTGTCTGCAATACTCAATACATTTTCAGATTGATGAAGATTCCATAGATGACCTTGGAGATCAGAAAAGATAATGGACCAACTAAAATTTCACTTGCACAATTCTATTTAACATTATACTATTTCCATTTCTGTTTATTATAAATAAAATGTACATAACGTATATAAAATGTTTTTAAAAAGTTTATAAAGTTAAAGCAATGAAAATGTTACCCATCTTTCTCATCTTGCTCATCTTCACCTAAGTAATTTGTTATTACTTGAAGTAAAGATTCTACCTCTTCATCATTCAAACGATCTTCACTATCTTCTACAATCTATAAAAATATAATAATACATATTTAACTTTAAATATTGTGATTTTATCTATTATATATTTCACATAATTACCAGTTGTATTTCAAGAGGTGTCTTAGGACACACATTTAAAAGAGTTAATTTTTCACACTTTGTTAACTTAAAAGGTTCCATTGCTTTTAGAAAGCTCCTAATTTTTTCAGGTGTCTGTCTTTTACAAGGAGTCTCTTCTAAATATCTTATAGTTTGATATGTTATAGTTGCCAATTGATTTTGCTTCATTTTTTGTTTTTTATTTGCTTTTATATTTTGTAGAATGTCTAAAACTTCATAATTGCTCAAGTATGCAGAACATTCCTTGATCCTAAAATAAAATTTGTTCAAAGAATTTCAATAACTTTTTACTAAAATAATTGCCAATTCAATAAAAGAATGACTACTTACACTTCCATAACGAACTGTAATATCAAATTTAATTATACTATTTGTTTATATGTTCAATAAAATACATGACAAATATGTAAGGTTATGTACTCATATTTATTAACACTTTTTGTATTCAAAGCAGCACAGAAGTTTATTAAATTGTTAACTATTATAATGTTCAATACTAAAATTCGCAACAAATAATGTCTGTAATACAACTATTTATGTCTAAAACCAACTATCGATTAACGAATCCTACGATTTAGAGGGCGCACGGTTACTAAAATACACGGAATACGCAAAGCATAAGATTTGAATTTAGCGCTTAATTATCATCAATGATAATTCTATGTGATATGCAATTTGCATACAATTTTCGTCTCATATATAATAATTCTGAACTTGTTTAAAATCAATTTTCGAAGGTAGGAAATTAATTTTTTAATGCAACAGCAGCACAATAATTACTTAAAGTACTTTTGATAATTGTAACAGAAATTTAATACATAATTTCATAACTATAAATCTTACTTTTCAAAGACAATGGACAAAGAATTCTTGCTTTAATTCATAAATGAATAATTAATCAATTCATTTTGTTCTCGACGTTGCATTGAAATTTCTTAATTGCTGAGTTTTGAAATCGATTGAGAAGCCATTGAAACAATACGTATATGTATTCATTATAATCACATTTACAGAATAGTAGGATGTCTAAATATATGAAGATAACCTGGTCTATTTTATTCAACGTATGTGCGTATACATGATACACGCTCTACGGTCCACAGCTGACTGTAGTTACATTTTAGTTCCTGCAAGGCTGTAGATTGGTGAGTTGTAGCCCCGTTGAATTACACCCATAGTTATATAAATAGAAAATACCACATGCAAATTACATTTATAGTTTTATTGATTGGATAGTATTGTTTAACGTATTCTAATCATTTCGAAAAATATTTTGAAGAGAAATAAGAATATTTTTAGAATTACTTCTTTCTCATCTAAATCATTGGTCATTTTACTTACCCTTCTGTGTACAATAGTATTCTAAACAAATGTAACATAAATTACAATTGATTTATTATTGTACACTAAAAAATATATTATGAGATTTTATTACGAAAAATCCTTGAATTATCTTATTTCATTTTCAATTATTATTTTTGTATTCCAAGCCAACAACCTTAACATTTACATCATCTTTAATTGAAATAGACTTAAAGCTCCATTTATTATTAGCATCGGTATAGCACAAATTAGAAGTTTTGTTTTTATTTGAAATGATTATTTTTCAATTCATTCGAAACCTATTAGAAATAAAATAGCGAAAAACATCGTTAACAGTGTGTAACGCAATACGCGAAGCTTCACATTTATTTCTGACTAAATTCGGAGAAATTTTAGGTTACGGGCCTTGAGCGTCATAGTCACATACCTATGAACGTTAACACGACCTCTGTGCGCGATCGTCTGACATTTTGCGACGGCAACTGTACAACTGAGTCTGTACTCCGTCGTGTTTTGTATTTTCGAATATACTCTGCCGTCAGTGTGGTGATACGACTTAATGATCGATGTGATTCATAAGGCTGGGCAAAATGTAGACCGACGTCGTTCCAGTTCTCAAAGGCATCGTCGGAAAAGAGCAAAGATACCGCACGAAAATCTCACGAACTGCAACTTTTCTTACAACGCGTATCGATCTCTCCGCAGGCAATGCATCTTCCTTGCCTATCGTGCTATGTTTGTAAACTGTTGACCTTGCCTGTAGAAGATCGGTGAAACATCCTCGATCGCCGAAAAATCGTAATCAAGAATGGAAATTATCGGCGACTACGAATACAACACGAAAGATCTGATCGGCCACGGCGCATTCGCCGTGGTCTTCAGAGGTAGACATCGTAAAGTGAGTGCTTATGTTTTTCTTCGATCACCAGAAACGTGATCATCGATGGAATTGTAAAAATAATAGAACAAACGTCTGTTACATCAATTACGTGTATTTCGTTTTTTTTCTAGAAACCAAATTTCGTAGTGGCAATCAAAAGTATCACGAAAAAAAGTCTGGCGAAATCGCAGAATCTGCTTGGAAAAGAAATCAAGATTCTGAAGGTTTGTTGTTGCGTTTTTCCATATCTATATTTATATTTTAAAAAGGAAAATGTTTGCCTTATATTTAGTGTTTTCTTTTGGCTTACATTTTAAAAATATTGCCTTTACTTAACTCATAAAACAGTATGACCTTTGTTCCATGTGGTTCAACTAAAATAATGAATTGTATAAATATATTGTTTACCTTATGCTTTCTAAATTAATTATCAAGAGAAGTGTAATATTCACTATTAGAAAATTTGAATATCTAAAAATAATAATTGTTCCTTTTAATAAAGAATCATTTACATTTCATTTATATGGTTGACAAAGGATTTATATGTTCTTTATTTCAATAACAAATGCATAATGAGTTTGTTTGTTGACTAAACCATTATGTTTTAGGAACTAACAGAATTACATCATGAAAATGTTGTTGCATTATTGGATTGCAAGGTTAGTACAATAGTGATTAATGTAAATCTCACATTAGTAAGCATTAAATATTTTCAGCTTGCTTACAAAAATTATATAATACTATTTATATTGATATAATTGCAAATTTGTTGTTTAGGAGTCTAATCATAATGTCTTCCTGGTTATGGAGTATTGTAATGGTGGGGATTTAGCAGATTATTTAAGTGGTATGTCTTTTATAAAAATTTTCTTATTATTTGTTATCTAATAAGCTCAAACTAAGGGTCAATTGTACTGATTCTATTATTTCATTTTCCATTGCTCCTATTAGCAAAAGGCACTCTTTCTGAAGATACTATCAGAGTGTTTTTAAAGCAATTAGCGGGTGCAATGAAAGCACTACATGCCAAAGGTGTAGTTCACAGAGATCTTAAACCACAAAATATTTTACTCAGTCATAATTGTGGGAAAGCTTGTCCACAGCCACATCAAATAACATTAAAAATTGGTATGTATTTATCAGTAGCTTAGTGTTTTTAATTCAGGTCTATACAATGTATTACTTATGCTTTTTTGAAAAAATTTTAAATTTATTTAAATTTAATGTACATGTAAAAGCTAAAATTTTTAGAGTGTATTTTTTATGTTCCAGCGGATTTTGGTTTCGCTAGGTTCCTGCAAGATGGTGTAATGGCTGCTACATTGTGTGGTTCACCAATGTATATGGCACCAGAAGTTATAATGTCACTTCAATATGATGCAAAAGCAGATCTCTGGTCTTTAGGAACAATAGTCTTTCAGTGTCTTACTGGGAAAGCTCCATTTCAAGCTCACACACCACAAGCTTTAAAATTATTTTATGAGAAAAATGCAAATCTCGGACCTAAGTATGTTAAAGTATACGTATGCCTTTTTGATCAAAACAGCAGATTATGTTAATTTGTTTTCGCTACGTTTTAATCGCTTTCTTTTTAGAATTCCTCCTGGAACTTCACCTGAATTATCGGATCTTTTAATGGGTCTATTAAGACGTAACGCTAGAGATCGTATGCCTTTTGATGAATTTTTTGGGCATCCATTCCTTCAAGGCTCCATGGTAATTCAAGAAGGAGCTACAGCTGTTACAAGATCAGAACCAGAAACAGCCAGTCCGTGTTCTAGTCCTGAAGATGACTTTGTGCTTGTGCCAAGTGATCTCAGCAGTGACACAGACAATAATCTTAACACACAACAAGTAAAGTAAGTAATTTGATATTTTACAGTGCACCTTCATTTATTACGTTCGTAATATTTTTATTATTTGAGTAGGTATATCAAACAAACTAGTAGAGAGGCAGTGAGTCCACCACGACCATGCTTCCTTCCTATTTCGGAACCGATTCCGGTTCCATCTCAAAGAAGCATTGCACAACCATCATCTCCCTCTACTAATACAAGATCAGGAAGTAGTGTTGTTCCCCGCTCACAACCTATTAGTATGAAACGCAGTGTGGATACTCATAGAAGTCATGCTCCTGATATTGGCTCCCTTAGTCCACCTAGTGTTCAGTTTGCTATTGGTACACCACCTAGTAGAAGGTATGCAAATGACATCGTTATATATAATT